CCTCTTATGAGAGATGTTCCGAGTAAGATCCTGACTTGTAAGTGAGGTTCAATGAGCCCGGTTCTCGTGATGTACAATGTCGTTTCGATGAAAAGCTTCTGCATCAATTTTCTCTCTGTTTAACGACGAGCCATGTCTTTTAATTTAAAGCGTTCCAAAATCAAATTATTAATTCATCGAATCGATCAAAGTACTGAGAAGGAGACGAATGTTTTGACTTTTGAGGCGCGCGCAACTAGTCATACCTTAAGAGTCTACGTGAAGAAACCTTTCTTCCTTGGATATACGTCATAAGCGATGTAAAGAAGACCAAAGAAGAAGCAATTGACTTTTGTACTCTTTACGTCTCGGAAACAGATCGTACAAAATATATATATTGGAAAGAGTAACAAGAAATTAAACTAGTATAATGAAAGATTGCAAAGGTAAAACAAAAGTTTGATGGGAGTTTTTCAAACATTTTAGAGTCTTTTCGTAAATCAAATCAAAACAAGAAACCTATGCTAATACATTGAATGGGTTTATGAAGAAAAGAGATTTAACGTACTTGTGTACTCTATGAACGGAGGCACTAGTAGCTTATTTTTCCACTCCCACGACACGTTGTACAAGACCGCGTTGAAGAACATTTGGTGCAGTAGCTCCATTTCTTGGGAAGCCTAAGAATGTGTTTTGCCAAGAAGAAAAGTGGGATCAATGAGACTGAAGGGAAGAAGCATGCATGCGGGATATCATTATTACCCGGCTGTATATCGTGTGGCCATATTTTTTGCCGTGAGTCGTGCTTTCTCAGCATTTTCATCTGATAGTTTCTTTAGAACAAATCCTTCACCTTTGCACTCAGAACAAATTCCTGAACCGCCGCAGACTTCACATTCTTTCATAGAAGCCTGCAATTCGGTTTCACAGAGAAAAACAAACAATGCTGATCCTCAAGGTACATATCAGTTTCACCAAGAAAAACCGGTGCAGATTGTGTTCATGGGTTCTTATACTAGGACAAAGTACCTCGGCTTCTTCAGAGGCTTTGGTTCTTGTCCGAACAAGAAGAGTGGCTGCCGTACCAACAACAGTCGCTGCAACCGCTATAGAAATAGCTGTTTCAGCTAAAGCTGGAATCGCTGTTGATGACCTCTTAGCTCTCTGATGTGAGGATTTCAAATCGTACAAAGAAACCGACTTCGAGAACCTCGCATCCTTGACACCTAACACAAAAACCAACAATGTTAACTCTATGAATATTAACTCAGAAGCCACAAGAAAAAACCTCAAAAAGTGAAATGGTCAAGACAATGTTTGTCCTAAAAGCTAAATATGAGTCACATACTAGTGTTTGGTAATGAATCCTCAGATTAAAATCATGAAACTTAACTAATTCGTAATACAATTGATCCAAGCAGTAATTCCACCATTAAAATCTTGCAATTTCTTCGTTACAATCGTTACGCTAGAATTGACTGACTCTAAGCTCCATTCTTACTTCAGTTGTAAGAGGATGAACCAAAATTAAGACCCAACTAGAAATTTATCTAAATTGGATCGTCAAATTCTGAGTGAGAGAGATAACAAAAAGAATCCAGCTTACTTGAAACAGAGGAAGGGAGGGAAAAAGATTGCAGCTTGAGACTCAGTTCCATTGCAACAACAACAACACAGAAATTTCCATTTCTTGAATTAGATTCTTGTTATCTCCCCAAATCCAAAACCTTATCTTGTCCGTTTCCCATAA